CGAAGGAGTGTTTGTACTGACTTTAGCCACCTTTTTAATGGCCTTGAACGCCAATTCACTAGTTTTGTGGATTAGAGAAATGTGTGTCATGGCTTGCCTTGCATTGGAGGTGTACGCACCTTCCCCATATAGCCTGTCAATGGCCTGTTCATGAGTCATCCCTCTGATGTCCCCGCCTTCCTTAACATATTTTTTAATGAGTAATTTCCATTCTGCCTCGAAGGCAGAGTATTCTAATGTTGTCAGCCACGCGCTGGTAACCTGTCTGATGTCATTGGGTGTAAGGTCGAAGGCATTAAAAAAAGATTCTAGGAGGCTGAGGGTGTATGGGGAATTCAAGCCATGGTCGGATATAGCCTTTTTTATGTCTTTAAGGACTAGATAGGAAATAGGTCTCCACTGAGGAGGTCTGCCGTCTTCTTTGACGATGGGAAAAGCTTGGAGCATCTCCAAGTCGCCAGCAAGTGCGGCCTGCTCATGGAAGACTTTCCAAGCTTTCTCTTGTGCCTCTATGACTTCATGGGTAACGTCAACCCAAGGACCTGGTGTTACAGAGTCCTGGGTAGTAGTAGTAGCCGGAAAGGTACATACATCTCCTTGGTCTCCAGTAGGAGTGACATATTTAAATGTGGATATAGGGGGTGTATGTGTTTTGGAAGGAAGAAATGAACATTTTTTATCTCTAAGAGTGTTAGATTTCAATGAAGGTGTGGTTCGATTATAAGACGATGGTATTGTTTCCTCATCAGTTTCTGAGGAAGTGTCATTAGCAGAGGAATTGGATTTTGAATGGGATGGAAGTGAATGTTGTTGACTGGAATTAGGAAAGTGTTGTATGTTAGGGTGAGAAACAGAAGTGTTTTGATTTAAGTGAGGACTAGAGGTGTGGGTAACGGTACGGTGAGAGTGTTTGGATTTGAAGGAGAGTTTCCTGTAGGCCACAGATGGAAGTGGGACCTGAGCCTTGGCCAGGGGCTCAGGCCTCTGTGGCTCCTCAGGTGGTGTGGGATGTAACGGATAATATGGTCGGGGAGTAGTGGGTTTAATGGAAGGTCTGGGCGGTAGTGGAGGGTAGGCCTCAGTTGATTTAGGTACGGGCCTGTTACCATGGGCGCAGCCATGTTGGTCAGGAAGGGTGGAGTCTGCAGCCGGAAGTGGGGTGTGTCTTTGGATGAAGGGTGGAGACGGAAGGTGATGTAACTGGGGAGTGTCTATGACACCGAGGGGGGTGGAGACAAATGGAGAAGTGACGTTAGGGGGAGTGTAGTTCGGCGGCTCCGCCTTAGGGGTTGTAACTTCAACTCCGCCTATGTGCCCTCCCTCGTGGTCCCATGGAACAAGATGTCTCCCGACGCCGGTATTGTCGTCGCATGGCATGCAGTGGGTATATGTTTTAGCGCCATTTTGTCCTTCATCCCTCCCGGAGGTCACTCCCGCCATGTTAGTAGGGGGGGGAGGAGGTGTAGGGTCGCCATTTTGTGTTGTAGCTGAATTGACTGTGGGGGTGGAAAGCCCACTTTTCTGTCGATCTTGGAGCAGCATGTATATGAGTCTCCAGGCAATCAAAGATTTCGCAGCTATCTTATCTCCTCTCTTTTCTGCCCTCCAAAGAGTGGCTCCGAGGGCATCCCAGTCTTTGATGTTAAGTTCATCTGGGAGATGGACTTGGTGGGTGTTTATCCAGGTGGCAAGGGCTTTCAGAGATGCCTTATCATATTTATGCCCCTGGTATTCGATTACCGCTCTTATCTTTTTATATATTGGGCGCTCGGGTTTACGTAGAGCGGATCCCATGGTGAGTCGATGCGCCGAAACTGGGGGTTTGGAGGAGGGTTAGGAAGGGTAGGGGCTTCCCCGACAGCTCACCTCTCTCGGCGGTCGCCTGCTCCGTCGATGAGGGGGACTTCTTGTCCAGTCTCTGCCGGGGGAGGCTGCCGGACTGCGGCGTATCAGGAACTCCCGCAGCTGATACCCAGCGAAGGTTGGTGGGAGATGATCCAAGAAGAAAATCTCACAGGACAACCTCACGCGTTGGGCGCCATTTGTCGCAGCCTTGCTCTTTGGGAAGGGAGCAGACTAGCGAGAGGGTTCTTGCAGATTGCCCTGTGAGGTGGAAGGGGAGGCAATAGCAAGGGCTCCGAGGTAGAGTTCACCCGCAGCTGTGACCCACAAAGAAGACACAGAGACAGTGTGAACACCAAGGAAGCCAAAAGCTAATCCAACTTTATTAACAAAATGGAGGGTTTTTATACCCCCTGGGAAAGAACTATCTGGAAAAAGGGGAGGTAACAAGGCGGAGCATGCAAATCCGCCACATTCTATAGGGTAACGGGGATTACATAACCAGGAATGGGTGTCAACTGGGGAGGAGAAAACTTAGGAGAACATGATTGGAGAGTACCTTATGGTAAACTAACCAATGGGGGAAGTGTTGCCAAGCCTGGCAGGGCTTATCGGCTAGGGGAAGAAGAAGGGAAAATGGAGGGTAGGTAACCTAATAATAGGTTTTTAAGTTCAACACACAAGCTACTGCACAACAGTTCCTGGGGTTGATTTCACAGTCCTGGTTCCATATCTTCTCTTTGCACCTTCCACGCATCGAAGTTGGTGTTGATATCCATGGTGGCGTAGACCCCGTCGCCAACAATAGAGGACACTTAATTTTCTTTTTCAGATTTAAATGTCTCCCACCTAGCTCATTACTAATTTGGTATTGTGTTGGCATAAAGTCAGATAAAGGAGAATCAAAGTGCTAATTGCATACCTATAAGCCTGACACTTGTGCTGACATCCCAGAGTTTTGCCTGGTGTCTTGTGAGAAGGCCATGTTTGAGAGTTGTCAAAGTGATGCAATGCAAAGTCTTTGCTATGACAGAGTGAAATTCCTACCTTTTTGGGCCAAGACCCAACAGGGAATTTCTGAGTCAGTGTAACTGATGATGTTACTGATAATCTAGAGCATCTTCTGTTGTTAAGCTGTGGAAATATTTTCTAAAATATGTGGTAATCATATCAAAGAGACTCCACTTTAGCGTGTAGGATTTTGAAAATCTTTATTTCATTTTTCCCCCGAAGAAATTATTAACAAAATATTGACATAAATAGTTTTCCTTATTGATCCTTATGGCTATGTTAGGCTAATATAAAGCTAACTTGCACTTGACAAAATCAGGAGTAATAATCCACACTGTTATACTAATTTAAAGCCAGTTTGTGGAGGTAAATTCAGCCCCATCTTCTACCTTTTTGGACCATCTTCACTCCCAGGCTCTTTTCCCAGGTAACTGAGCTGACTTTCACACTCTGAGGCTGGCCTCACACTGGTGATCTCAGGAAGTGCTTTGCAGCAACTTTTGGAATGGTTTCAAAAGGAGAGAAGCTTTGTAGTGTCTTGTAGGCAATTAGGGGCCACAACTCCTCTTGGGTGTTGATGAGCACGATCTGTCTGCTTGTACTTTCCCCCCAGAAATGTGTCTCTTGCACAGTCAATACCTCCCTCATCACTTTGTGAAGTGGAAAGTTGTGTAACTGCCCACCGTGGGGCTACGAGACTATCCGGAAGAAAGGAAGGATATATCACTTTACTTTTTCAAATGCAAAAGGCATTTTAGAAGGCAGTATAAAGTAACACTAAGCAAAAATTTAAGAGAGACAGATGGATAACAGAGAGCGTCACAGCAGTATGTGATCCTTGCAAGCCTTGGCTTTGTGTTTGTGGCACCACGGCACAAACTTGGTGTAAAGGGAAGAGCCTGGATTTTTAAACTACACATTATACTTTCTGCAGAATTCGGGGCCTTCTGTGAAAGCCTCTTGTCAAAATATTAATGTAAGCCAGAGAGGATCACAGATCAAGGTGGAATGACTGCAAGCATGGCTAATGTGTGCAGGTACTGCCAGCTACTCCAACAGCCGGCAAAGCCATTCCCTTCTGCGCTGAGCTCCTTGGAAAGGAGGAATGTGTAAACCTCTAGACTTTAGCACATGGGGAAAAAAATGTTGCTTTCTGGCACTACCTCAGAACCTATTCAGCATATGGCTGTCTTTTCAATGTGTAAACTAGTCAGGACAAATCTGGGGTGGTTTTTAAAATTTACTTTAAATTTTCTAGATCTTATTCCATTTCAAATCCTCATTGAGAATCAGATGAAACTGCTAAAATTTTTAAATGCTTGAAGGACATTGGACTGCCATAGTGAAAACAGACAGAAAGCTGCTGGGCCCAGCATTATATTTTCCTACCTAGAACAGGGGAAGATGGATGGTGTGAGGGAAGCTGATCCGTTACTCCAATCGAAATGTGTCAGAGCCTGGAAGTTTGCGCATAATTAGACCCCAGTAATTTCTAAATCATCTCCAAATGCAGATACTGCTGCATCAGCAGAATGGAGGCAAATCCAGCATCTCTGACAAGAAAGTACTTACCTCCTGTTGATGCAAGCTCTGAGATGATGTTCATCTGTGACAGCCCCTGATGGCTCCAGCGTACTTTTGTGTAGTGAAATTTGGGGGACCAATTTCTGAGCTTTACTATGTCCTCCAAATCACTTGATTGGGATTTCCATTCTATTTAGAAATAATGGAAATGCATCGCCTATAAAAATGAGCAGGACTTCAGCATCCTACAAACATGGCATTTCTCTATTTAATCATAATTAACTCATAAATAATTTACGCTCTCCTTTCTCTTACTATAAACTAGGCTTTATACCAAACAAAATATTCAGGAACTTCATACTGTTGCCCTTACATATATGTAGTCAGGTACCAGAGGGTGGAGATGACTTACCAACAAGGTTCTTATACTATGAATTTGACCCACGCATACAAATTCCTGCACTCATTAAGGGATCCAATTTTGCTTGGACTTTACATACCTGAGGGATCTGTGTAGGTGCAGACGTGTAGGAGGTGGCCAAGCTTGTATTTAGAAGGGCAGTAATCCCAACAACAGCAGCTGTTACCACAGATGAGCTGGAGAAAAGCACTATCACGCTTTATTTTAGTATGCTACAAAATTCATTGTTGAACTTTATTAGGTAATTTAATACCAAGCATACTTTAAAGTAACAAAAATTATTGTCGTTATTATTTTTTACAGAAAATCAGGTATTTCAACAGTTTTCTTTACAGTTTGTTGACCTAAAAAAAAATTACAATTGACAAGTTACAATAGTGGGATGGGAAAGTGGTAACATTTAAAAGGATAAAACATACTATTCTTACTGAATCAACATTTAATGATGTACATCCTGGTACGTCTCTCCTTCTGACTGTGTACAAATGGTAAATATTCACTGAGCTGCCCTGACAGGATTGTGATGTATTGAGATGACACTTTTATTGAAATGTTTGTGTATATTTAAAAGGGCTTTTACATTACACCATCACCATGATGCAAAACAAAATAATATAATACAGAGAAACCCTGCTTCCGTGATTTCTGTCACAGCAAAAGTGCCGTGACTGCAATAATGTGGGGTAGAGGTAAACTCAAGGAGCAAATGAAGATGGTGATACAATAGCACATCCAGATAGCAAACCCTTTCACAGGCTTTGAGGTGTGAGTGTGACTGTGAGCCGACAAGAGCAGTGAATGAGGATGGGCTTCACTGAGACACAATTTAACAGGGACTCCTGAATGCGCCCGGCTCTTAAGGATGTGCGTTTTCCAGCTGACAGTGGTTGGACTAATCACAGATTTAAAAACCTGTCTGAAGTGGGCCCTTAATGCGTTTATGCAGCCTCATGTGTAAACTGCTTGATTTTTACCTTCCGTTACCTTGGGTCAGCAGCAGGTACTGAAACTGTGTTTATGGTGGTTGACTGATTTGGGTGGGGTTTTTGACCAGATCTAACACTGGTCCTGTAGAATTCAGGAGAGTTTTCTACCCACAGATACAAGAGCAGTTTTGCATTAAAAAAAGTGGTGGGTTTCTTTTTTTGCTTTATTTGTTTGTTTGTTTTTAATGCTGCCCAGATTCACACAAATTTACTTGACCGACATCCACATTCAGCATTCAGTTTCTAAGACAAGCAGCAGCACATTGGGGCCTTGGTAGTTAGAAGAGTTATCTAATTCCCTGTGTTTGTTTATTGGCAGTCTGCTTAAAGATAACTTTTTATTCAAAAGTAAAATAAATTTTCTGAGATTCATGCACTAAATTCCAGAATAATTTGTGTTGTGCAGCCAATAGTTAAAAAGCAGTTTTAACTCATAGTTACCTCATGTCTTCAGCATATTGCATTACTGGGGATCAACTTTAGCAATTAACTATTATTTTAGCCATTTCCCCTGAAAGCCAAAGAATGAAGCAACAGGCTTAAAAAAACCTGAAGAAACTAGCACTGCAGTGTTCATTTTGGGCTGGATTCATCTGTGATACACAGGAGAGGGCAGAAGACATGCCCAGACCTGAGCCAGGATAGACGTCTGCTTTGCTGGGAGGTGCTGGAGAGGAGCAGAGGAGAGGGGCTCCCTGCTTCCCTCTGTTGCTCTGTGCCTGGTGCTTGGCATTTTGCTGTGAGATCTTTCTTCATATTCTGTGCCTACTTCTGTTTTACTTCTCAGTGGCTTCTGGAAGTGAGAGTGTCCTTTGGGACCCGCTGAGCCCCTGTGGAGAGAATCACCAGCCCCACCAGCACCCTGGGCCTCCGTGCACCCATCCCTCACATGGCTATTTGCAATATTTATTTGCTTACTAGTCTCTTAATTTTTGTGTTGAGTTTAAACTCAGGGGCTTATTGAGTTTGAACTTTAGGCCAAAAGGGCTCATTAGATCATCTGATCGGACTGGCGTTAGCACAGGCCAGAGAGCACCGCTCAGCAGCTACGTGGCAGAACAAAGAGAAGAACAGAAATGCCCCTGGAGTGATCAGCTGTTTGTTACATTTAAGGGATAAATTATTTTCTCCTATTAAAAAGGAAATCAAGGGCCTTTATTTTGTCACTTCAAATGCAAACAATTCTCTGCATCTTGGGAAATTATAGTATTATGATATTCAGTCAGACATACCTTATAGTATATATGCTTCATAGAACTAGAATATAGGTCAGAAACAATTTTTGAGTCTTAAGTTTGTTACAGACAGATTAATTGGAACACATATGCAGTAAAAATTGAGAAGCTTTACAGTTTTAGTCAACTTATTATACAGTGAAGTAAATGAAGTGCAGCAATGTAGCAGTAAAAGTTATGCTTTTTCCACTAGGTGATGGAAACATTCGGAGTCTATGAATGCTATTAAAGAGAGATGTCCTATCAGCTTCTTGGCTACTGGGATAAGAATAGTCTGGAGTTAACTGCCTCTCTACTGTGAAAGGTTTTAAAGCTTTTTGCTTTCCGTCCGAATAAAAAAAATGACATTTACAAACCTCTTCAATGCATATATATTACATATGTTTATCTAGCAACAACTACACCCCTTTTAATTTATTCCCCAAATGTGACTTTTCATGCATGTCTTCTGGATGCTGTATTCAGCAACAGTTTCTAATGAGCTGGTGTGTAATCCATGATTGCATTTCTCTTCTGAAAATCACTTCCACGTCTGGCTGATCTATGTTTAGAAGGTGGTGCTTATCCATCAGGCATTTTTGCACTCGTCAGCGTTCTTCTCTGTCAGAGGCTTTCCCAAGCTCCTTCCCATTTTAATGTTGATGTACAAAAGCTGTTATTCATTTTGTTTTGTGCTCATTCTAGTGAGGATTGGCTTAGTAGGACTGTGCAAAAGAGAGAGAAGAGAGAAGCTGGTTTACTGCCAGCAAACATAAAGATGTTCACACTGTGCTCTAGCTCAGAGCAAGCCTCTGACCAATATTCTAATACACTTCATTATATGCATTTCCATTTATCACGAAAAGGGAAAAAATTAATCTGCAGATAGGATTTGTAATCTGAAATTCTTTAAAATCATTTTTCACCAGCTAATCAACACAGGGAGTCAAAATAATGAGATTGTTTCATCTAAAGTTTGAGTGATATGAAAACAAAGATACAGTGCATATGGGGCAAGAATGACATTTACTAGATGAATACCGTGAATTGAGTTAAAATCCTGACATTTCTGCCTGGTATCAATAACTTCTTTCACTCCCCTGAGGACACAATCCACATTTGCAAACATGATAAAATAATACCCTGTGTTAAATTTCAAATGAGGACAGAGGTGCAGAGGTGTTTTCAACCCACACTCTCCCTTAAAAATTAATTCTCACCCGTCCATTTTCCATGTGCTGCAAACAGCGCTGCAGACAGGGAGAGCAGACACCAGCTGTGGTGGCACCAGGAGCAGGGTGAGGAAGGCTCCCCCTCCTCACTGGGAGTGACTGCACCAGAGGGGGCAGCACATGGGAATGGGGCCTTACTGAGAAAGTCTATTTGCAAGTACTCCCGTACAAGCAAATGCCTTGGCTACTCCAGCACTTGGCATTGAACAGAAGGGTCTTGCACCAAATGAGCACTGCAAATTCACCATTAACTAAACTATCCTGGATTTACGGGACCAAACCATGCAGTCATTTGGCAGGGAACCCCTCCCACTGCCTCCTGTGAAAGGGTCACTGGTCAGAGGTCCTATGAGGCCACAGGTCATCACAGTCCTGTTCCTCTCGTTGTAACACAGGGGCCTCTGCAGAGGCTGTTTGAATGCAGAACTAGAGGGAAATCACTCTTCTTGTGAAAACAAAAGAGAAAGAATGAATTTCATCGTGAAATGACAGTGAACAAAGAATTTCAGAAATAGAAACTCTTAAAAATGTTACTGTAAGGGGACTGAAATATTTAATTTCCCCCCCACACCCTGTGTTACATGGACCAGCCACCTTCTCCCATTCCCACAAATTCCCCACACCCCTTGATTCTCATGATCACATTGGCCTGCAGCTAATTCACCCATAGACCCAGGGAGTGTGATGCCCTGGAGCAGGATACCCAGACCTGAGAGCTTGGGATGGTAGTACCACAAACCAGTGAGCCTGGTGGTGGCAAACCCTTTTGCTATGAACTCTGGGTGCCTGCTTCCCCATCAGCTTCCAAAAAATTGACATTTTTCAAGCAAAGTTTGTTTTTTAGGAAAATTTCTGGCTTGTTACAGCGTACATGTGTTCAGAATGTATCTATCGTCCAGATTTATTTTACAAGACACTTTTAATTGATGTTGCTGAGACTAGAAAGTGGTAAATAAATACGAAAGAAGCATAAGGTAAATTAAGGAGGGCCCTGAAAAACAGAACAGTTTTGCTTGTGTCAAAAAATGAATATGAAATATAATGTGGTAAAACCATTTTTATGATACAGGTATGTGATGGGGATTGTAGTTTCCAATTGTAAAAGAGGAGTTGCCATTGATAGCTCCATGAGCTGCCTTTCACCCATGTAACAAAAATGAAGGATAAAGAATTGATGAGAAATGGACATACGTGTTATAAATGAAAATTATTAAGAAGTGGTTTGAGTCCAGAATTTTTGTGTATTTTATTAATATGGTTACCAATGTAATTAATATGGTAATATAGGTAAGCAGCATACCTAAATAAAATAAAGGAATGAAAAATTGCCTGAGCCTCCAATCTGTTTATTTGCTAAGTGAGAAATGGGGGTTTGTGAGCCTCTTAATCAATCCATAGTTGGGTGATGAGCATATGCCCTGATACTCCTAGGAACCATCTAAACTTAATAGAACCCATTGAGCCATTTCTTTCAATTATTTTTAATCAGAATTTAATGGAGCTGTGTTATTCAAACCCCTAACATTGTTTACTGGTTTTCCAGCAATACTCAGTGTTTCAGCTGTAACATACTAAGACCTTTATTAGTTCTTTTGACAAATTTTGCACACAGGTGTTATACACACGGAAATGAAATTTAATAAATACCAAGGTGCCTAGTTGACAAGGCAGAAATAAGTAATTCACATCCAACATCCCTCAGTCTGTTTTGTATCACATCATAGGCTTTTGACTCCTTGAAGTTTCATAGATACTTACAATTCTAATACTGTTGCTTAGAAATCAGTTAATGAAAGCAGTCTTCATGAAAGCTGTATTACCCAAGCACCCATGTGCTCTGCTGTTAAATTCCCTATTTAAAGTCTTTAAAGACTGCCTGTTAGGCTGACGTCGCCACAGCACAGTTACTTTTCATATTTGACCAATTCAATTAAGGCAGTCACTACTGTTGACTGCAGAGCTGGGGTACAGTCAGCCTGGAGCATTTTAGTGTTTATGTACATTTTCAGAGAGAGGCCACTGACATTCCTTTGTGTTAAAGATGAATCGTGGGGAAACTTCCAGGTTGCTCCCTGACAAGGTATAAAGGATGTACTGATTTCAGATGGTCCCTCATGCTGTTATGGTAAAGTCAGTCAAATGAATAGTAAATATATAGAGAAAGGTAGACCTTCTAGGTCTGAGTATATATCACCTCAGACAATCTTACCACTTTATAGCATTAATTGTCACCAGCCATATTTATATGATCTTCTTTGCCATGTATTTGACTGGCATCTAGAAAACAACACTTTTCCAAGTCTTAATCTTTTATTGCTGACTCCAAACATACACAATTACTGTGCTAAAGGCCAACTGGCTTTCATGGTCACACCAAAACTGGTACTGTTACAAAACCACATCAGCTTGCAGAAGCCCATGGGTCAATGAAGCACCAGAGATTTCTTCCCAGCACCCCCACAGTATTCCTCCAGCCTAAGGAGCGACATCATCTCTATTGAATTCTGGCACTGTGTTTAGTGGATGGGAGGGGATGAAGGATGAAACATTGATGCTGAAGGTCTGCAATTGAAAATAGACATGCTGAGGCACCTTGGATAACACTTCTGCCTGGGCTGTAGGCCAAAAAAATTTGGACAAGTTCAGTCTTAATGGGATGCTTGGAGTTCTCACTTTTCTGCTTATAGAATAACAGAATCGTTAAGGTTGGAAAAGACTTCTAAGATCATAAATTCCAACCCTTAACATTGTACTGCCATGTTCACTGCCAAAACCCACACCCAAAAACCACACGCCTTTTGAACACTTCCAGGGGTGGTGAATCCAAGACTTCCCTGGGCAGCATGTTCCAACCCTTTTGGTGAAGAAATATTTCCTAATATCCAATCTAAACTTCCCTGATATAACCTGAGGCCATTTCATCTCATCCTCTCACTTGTTATTTGGGAGAAGAGACCAACCCTCACCTGGCTACAGCCTCCTTTCAGGTAGTTGCAAAGAGCAATAAGGTCTCCTCTGAGCCCCCTTTTCTCTAACCTAAACAACCCCAGCTACCTCAGCTGCTCCTCACAGGACTTGTACTCCAGACCCTTCAACAATTTTGTTGCCCTTCTTTGGACATACTGACCTTACTCAGCTCCTCACAGACACATGTAGATGTTTTGTTGTTGTTGTTGATGATGTTGTTGTTTGGTGCAATGCTAAGTGTATTAAAACTCCACTTGTATCCACTGCACTCCAAAATTCAAAGACCTACATGCATTCAGGGCCTGGACAAATATCCAGATGTGTTGTTAAAAGGCACAAAAGGCAGACAGATGCCCAGCTGCAGAGGGCAGCCAATGTCCCCTCATCTCTTATTTCCTTGAAGATATTCTCTTTAAAACACATAACAAATCCTATTTGAGTGGCCTGAGAGAATGATTTTGTTTTCTGTGTGATGAGAGAGGAATGATGTGTATTTCCATTTGCCTACCTGCTGTGGGTGCCTTTGCCCTGAAGAACTGAGCATCCTTTGCCTCGGCCTCATGGGGGGTTGCTTACGCATCACCCAGAGAGTGACTCTGGGGCAAATCTGTCTCTCAGTGAACAGGCAGGCACCAACTCAAGCCCTCTCCAGATTCGTAAGAGTCCTGGTGATCCAAGCTGGAACTCTAACATGTTTTGGAGAAGCTGTCCACAGCTCATCCTGGAAATAGCTGTGTGGCCAGGAGGTGAATGAGTTGTGCTCTCTGCTGCCTCCCCTGCATCGCAGTTGAGCCACAGTAAAGAGTATGGAAATGCCTACCCTATAGAAATGGAAAGAAGAATGGACAGAAATCCCCCAGCTGTTTTGCTAGCAGTCCTCTTTCAGTGTTTCACTGTTCAGCATCTTCTCAACAAAATGTGATAAATGACCTGTCCACACCAGAGCTGCCCAAACGCGTTTCCTCCTCCTCCTGCCAAACTCGATCTGGCAACTGCCTGCTCTGCTGTCACTCACAGCTACTGAAGACTACCTGAGAGGGCAGGAGTTAAAGAGAATACAGAGTAAACCTTGAGGAGTTGCTAAAACTTTCACAGAATTTTGGGATTGAAATTGTGTGATGTATTTGTCCATATGGCATTAGAGGAGAAGCTCATCTGAGCAGAAGGGTGTCTGAGCTCAGTCTTCTACTGCAGCACTTCCTTGCAATAAAATAAGATTGAATCACATAAAAAATGACAAGGTTTTTACCAATTCAGTTTGCAAGCCCTGTGAAATCAGAGCTGGGGGTAACAGTGGGACTTATTCAATCTGCTGGGTGGTATTTGTGCACCCTGTTAATGGCAGCAGCTGAACTCCTGGGCACGGGCTGTAGGAAGTGTTTCTAGGACTGTAGGAAATAATTTCAGGAGCATTCAAGAATTTTCTAAATGTCTGGCTCTGCATAAGGACGTTTCTAGCATCTGAGAGGATGATGTGGCAATGTTATCCCCTTCTCCACTTGAGCCATAACCACCAGTGGGGCTGT